CACTACGCCGGGAGCGGAGCAGCTGCAGCTTGTTCTGGTAGCCCAGCTTCAGGTCCGGGACGCTCAGACCTCCCAAACGTCCATCGAAATTCATGCCCCCTTGCCCGGAAGAGCTGACCCCGGTGTCCTCCATTTCAAAGGTGTCCTCCCAACCAAAAACACTTGAAGCCCAAATGACAGGCTCATTGGGCCGTCCACTAAGAGGGATGGAGGTCGAGGATTCAAGCTCACCGGTAGCGCTGCTACTCAGGGTAGAAGACTCTCCCAAAGCCCTGACTGCAGACGAACGGTCCTCCTCAGGGGGTGCTGCCGGGGCAGGTCCCTGACTCCTTGTCCAATAAGGAGGCTCCGGGGAACCGTCTTGCTGGGGCTGCATACGCAGAGACCAGCGTGACTGGGAGTTACAAGCTACAATCTTATAGCTAGCCCCTTTGACCCAAGCACACTCCGGTGCTCAGACCTGTCCTCCGGCACCCTTAGCGGGCCCTAAGACAAGACCTACTGTCCTCCGGTACCCTTCCTGGGCCCTAAGACAAGCACTAACAGTCCTCCGGCACCCTTCGCGGGCCCTAAGACAAGCACTTACGAAGCTCCGGTACCTATTTCCAGGATACCCCAAGCTCAAAGAGGTCTCTTCCAAGCTATACCAAGCTCGGGAACAGCAACAAAGAGGACCCAAGCTCAGGCCCCCTTTCTAAGTTGCTAACCGGTGCTAGAGAAACCACAGGTCCCTGCTTATGCCACCGGTCCAGCCCCTTGGCTGATCACCGCTCCCGAAACGCAACACACGCAACTGGAAACAATCCTGTCACTGCAGGGCAAAGTGCAATCTTAGCTACCCCCCCTCAGTTTTGACAAGACCACTAGGCCTCTAGTGACCACCAAGCAAGCACTTCTCAAGTTGCAAGTAAATGCCACTTCTCGGCTTTACACTTGGGTGCTTGCTCAAAGGGATAGTCACCGATATACAGACCATACAACCATACATTGACATACATACCCCATGCTATGCCTTGACTCCTCATACATTGCTCCGGCCTCCCAATGACTCGCATGACAAGAAAGCCTCCATTGCACACAGCTCAACACTCACATCACCGGAGTCGTGCTCCGCACCGGAGATCGCTGCTCGCTGTCAACAGGTCCTTCTCTCATGCTTAGGCGCCATTGTCCTCACAAGGATACTCACGGAGAACTTGCAACTTGAGAAGTGAGTCACACTACTCTAGAAGCAAGTAGATATACTACTACTACCTCTTGGCCGGAGATCAGCCTACAGCTCCAGATCTACACTCGGCCGGAGGTCAACAACTAGCAACTCTAGCATCTGCTACACTCGTGTGACCTCGTACAGCTATTGGTCACTTGACCGGATTTGTGTGGTCACACCGGAGCCACTGAACCGGATCCATGTGGTCATCCCGGTGCACACTTGACAGGCCACCGGAGCCTCGAAACCCTTGAGGCAGCCGCGTGGATGACTCCCGCCGGTTGCCACCCTCTATGCCGCCAGCCGCGGGCGCGCGCGCTACGTGGTACGGCACGGACGCCCCACGGCATGGCAAAGACAGCCCTGACCATCCCCTCAGCAGACAAGAAGCCAAACTTCAACTGAGACGCGCAGGAAAGGGCAGCGAGCGCTCGCCCGGCGAGCACATAAATCACGTTGGTGGTTCTAAGGATCAGCCGAGAGACGGCAGATCAGCCGGAAATTCAAAGAGTCCCGGCCAGCAGCCAAAGGAAGCTGCCAAGCAGGCAAGTCCAACAGTAGGACCTGCAGAAGACAAAGGTTTAGTTGTAAACCCTGCAAAAACAACAGAAGAGGAATGGAGCTGGCCTATAGGAGACTCACTGACTGAAATACAACAAGCACAATTAACAGAGCTCCTGGACAGTTTTAAAGACATCTTCGCCTTCAACATGCAAGAGATGACTACTATTCCTGGAGTGGAATTCGAAATTCCAGTCAGTGACGAGACACCAATATTCAAACACTAGTACCGGTTAGCGCAGTCAGAAAAGGAAGACCTAGCGCAACAAGTGGCAGAACGACTTAAGAATGGCCTCTTTAGACCGTCAACCTCACAATGGGCCTCCCCCATTACTATGCCACCAAAGAAGGACGAAAACGGAGACTGGACGCAACGAAGAGCTTGCGGAGACTACCGTGGCCTCACCCGGGTAAGTGTCCCTGACCACTATCAGATACCAACACCAGAGGAAATATTCGACGTCATAGGCGATGCAAAAGTGTTCACTACCTTGGATTTTCGTCAAGGTTACAATCAGATACGGATTGCAGAAGAAGATCGCTGCAAGACCGCATTCTGGGGAGCAGACGGGTTGTACGAATGGTTGGTCATGCCATTTGGACTGAAGAACGCACTAGCCTTCTTTCAAAAGGTCATGGACTAAACCCTCCGCGCCGAAAGAGCTTTTTGCCGCCGCTATATTGATGATTTAATAGTGTTCAGCAGAACTTTCGAAGAACACCTGGCCCACCTGAAACAAGTCTTTCAACAACTCAGAGACAGAGGGGTCAAATGCCATCCTAAAAAGATGCGCGCCGCCGTACCCGACGTAGGATACCTGGGACACCTGATTGTCCCTAAAGGAACCGCAGTGCAGGAAAAGAAGGTGGAAGCAATCTTAAGAATCCCACCTCCTCCAGATGTAAGCGCACTAAGAGCCTTCCTAGGAACTGCCGGATATTATCGGAAGTTCGTCAAGAACTACAGCAAGATAGCAAACCCACTAAACCACTTGCTGCAGGAAGGAGTATCATATGACTGGACGACTGAATGCCAACGGGCGTTTGATACGCTGAAGACGCATTTAACAGAAGCACCCATCCTTCGCCGGCCCGACTTCAAGCGCGAATTCGAGCTGCACACCGACTGGAGTGCACAAGGGCTTGGCGCAGTGCTCACCCAACGAGATGATGAGGGCAACGAGTATGTCGTTGCCTATGCCAGTCGCAGTTGTAACAAGACGGAACGCAATTACTCCAGCTACCACGGTGAGTGCTTAGCTGCGGTTTGGGCTGTTTCCCACTTCAGGTATTACTTGTACGGCCGCAAGTTTACTCTGATTACAGACCATGAACCGTTAGAATGGTTAATGACCAATGAGAAGCTAAGAGGAATGCACGCCGGATGGGCTAACATTCTTCAGGAGTATGACATCTACATCAAACACAGGTCAGGAATTAAGAACCTAGATGCAGATGGATTGTCTCGCAACCCGCTTCCGTCAGAGGTAGATTCTACCGGTGCCAGAATGGACCATGTCCAACCGAACGAATTGAGTGAAAATCGCACCTTAGAGCGATCCAATGCCACTAGAAGTCAGAACGACACTGAAGCTTCGAATAGCCTGCTGACTATTCAGAAGGAGGGGATTGCTAATGAAAGCAAGCCGCCCTCAGTTGACTCGCCCAGCGTCTTAGCTACAATGCTAGCTAGAACTGTAAGTCAACAATGGACTGCTAAGTCGACTGAAAGCAGCCAGGGACGACCAATCCAGAGAGAAGTCTATCCTTTCCATCATGCATCCCGACATGTGCATGCAAGCTCAAAGAGCAGAGACCTGAACCTGGGAACAACAAGCCAAGTTGACTCCTATCCCGTGCTGAGACTGTCGACGGGGGACCTGCCGACTACAGGACACGTCATGAAGCAAAGGGCATGCGCTTCAAGGCAACTTCGCCCTACGGTAAGTGCTGACATCTCAACCATAACACGTGCCAACCAACCGCACGAAGCACAAGATCGGAATACCGCCCAAGATCTTTATGTCAATCAGGAAATTGCGATTCCATCTGGCGAATCTTCCGCGTAACCTCCTCTGCAAGTCAATTCTGCCCCAGACCAATCCCAATCAGAATTAGACTTGGTAACTGAGTCAGTTACCGGCGTCACGGGGACAGACGCAATTGAATCACACTTCCAAGGGACAGATAAAGATGGTGATCTCCTAGGTGACGACCCGGAATTGGCCCCCATCCCCGATATCTGGTCTGATCACAACACGATACAATATCTGCAGAATAATTGTGTCTACCCCAGCCATGCAGGCCCCAAGGAACGGGACCGGATACGGCGACGAGCACAGAGCTATAAGTTTGAGAACCATGCTCTCATGAAGCTGACCAACGATGGCATCTTAAAACGAGTGCCGGCGCCTGACGCCAGGGCAGCATTAGTGGCTCATATTCACAAGCAACTCGGTCACTTCGGAGTAAAAAGAACTTACTCCTTGTTAGAACCCACACACTGGTGGGCAAGAATGCACGAACAAATCGCGCAATTAGTGGCTAGCTGTCATGTATGTGACCGCGTAAAAACCAGTTTCAACATCAAGGACTCAGTACTCAAGCCCCTTCCAATCATGGGCTTAGGGTACCAATGGAGTTGCGACCTAGCAGGGCCGCTTCCCCCATCAGCATCCAGATATCATTACATCATGGTAATGATAAAACACTTCTCAAAGTGGTTGGAGCTAGTTCCACTCCCCAACAATACCTCTGAGGAAACTGCAAAGGCTTTCCTTCAAGTTTGCACTCATTTGGTGCACCCGCGGAAGTACTTACTGATCAAGGGCAAGAATTCCAAGGAGAATTTGACACCTTATGTAAAGAACTTCTCATTAATCACCGTGAAACTTCACGCGATCACCCTCAAGCCGAGGGCCTCGCTGAACGCGCAGTTCAGACCACTAAGCGGGCCGTACGAAAGTACGTATTAACACATGCAGTTGATACCTGGGATAAGTGGATCCCTTGGATTGCCATGGGGTACCGCATGTCAAAGAAAACGTCATTAGGGGACTACTCACCTTACTTCCTAATGTTTGGCCGACATCCCGTGGTAGTAGCAACCCTCCGAGAAATGGTCAACACACCTGTCGACCTGGATAACCCTGACGTGTGGGAGAAAATCATTACAGCACGTTCAGAGGAGTTCAAAAAGGCTATCCCTATAGCCTTCAGCAACCTGCAAGCAGCGCAACACCGGGACACTTTATGGTACGCCAAAACACGTACTGGCAATTGGAGCCCTAAAGTTAAGAGGTTTGAAGTAGGAGACTTGGTCTACCTGCGTTGCAGAAAAGTTGACACCCTCGATGTCAATGTAGGCCGCATCATCCTGAGAATTAAGGAGATCCTACCTAATGGAGCGCTCGGATTGCAGGGCAGAGAGGGCAAAACGGTTAAAGATCACGTTGAGAATTGTGCTCCGTGTCACAATCCAGCCACAGACCTCACCATGGACACCACACTTTCCGGATACGATGAGGACTGGGCTTGTCAGATTTGCAAGAAGACAAACCGACCTGCCAAAATGCTTATTTGTGACTACTGTAGCGAGGGCTACCACATGGACTGCCTGGACCCACCTATCCTGAGACTCCCAAAGGGAGATTGGTTTTGCCCACGATGCGCTTTATAAGCTCCAAGCAAGAGGGGCAAAGTCTAACCTATGTTTTCACTCATACAGGAAGCATGGCATCCAGCTCAGCACAACAACCCGGGGACAACCCGTCACAACAAATTCAGAGTTCAGGATGGGGCCCACCCCCAACTCCTGGCCTGGAAGACTTACCACCTTCCTACACACCGAATATATATTATGATCATCTCAAAAAGTTAGCCATTCATGAGTGGGATGAATATTGGTGGCCCACTAAGAAGGTCCAACTCGCCTGGCGAATGGGAAAATGGCGCAACCGAATTAAACAACTAGTGCATAGCTATCGCACCTGGTATGCTCTCATTGACCAAATGCATAGGGAACTACTTGTACTAGAACGAGAAAACGATCTTGATCGCACCCCGATCAACGTGCGCCAGTACTTACTTGCCAAATGGCCGCACACCGAAATAAACGAAGTATTAGAAGAGTGCGCCGCACATTTCCCACAGGAAACCGTCACCACTAGACGAATGAGTACGCCGCGCAGAGACGCAATGTTGGAATTCATCGAGCGACAAGTCGATGTAGGCCAAAGTACTCATACCGCAGACTGCACTTACTTCTTCATGCAACGATACGGCAATATTTGAGCAGACATGTGATTAGTCGAACCGCGCCCCCGCTCCGCGATCTTGGGTCAGAGCTGATGCCATACTTGTATGGTGGCAAAGGACCACTCTTCACATTTTAGCCTAGCACATTAACAAAATTACGGATTTTAGGAATATGGCACAAATTCACTCTTCATATCCCTGACCACTTCAATCTTGAAGCCCTAAACCTCGTCGGGACAACTCGGTGGCTTAGGGGGGGATGATGAATGACTATGAATTCCATCCATGCCGCCTTGTTTACTCAACATATACCGCCAATTGCTCGTATCATGTATTTTTTAACGCTTAGCCGATCCATGTGTCTCATCACTTCATGTAACCGACGTCAATCAAACGCCGACGTTATATCGCACGACAGCTGTCATGCCACAACGCGTCGCTGCCATAACGCGTCGCTTGGCGAACCAGCATGGGACACGTGGCATGTCGTAACATACTTAGATAAGTTAGTTAGCTTAAACCGACCGCAGTTAGCACATCTAACCATAACCTCGCAGGCTCGTCACGGATTGGCTATGGATCAGTCACATCATACTGGACATCCATTGGTGCAACCCGTTATCCACAATCCAATTATTGCAACCAAGGTTCCGCGATTGAATCCGGGTACGTTTTCGAACGTTCCCTGGGGACGTAACCAGCCACTAACCGGTTATGTCACCATGAGTCACCAGGTTATGATACCGGCCGTCGCGTACCCTATAGCATGCTGCGCAGCCAGCTGCAGCATGCAAGTGGATGTCCAAACTCGTTATGCGAATCCACGGGTACTTAAGTCAATGGCCCAGCCATTTCCAACTTGACTTTCATTCAAGTTAACTATCCATCGCCACCGGACACT